AAATGTTTTAAAGCACTGATATAGCACTGGAAACATTATGCCAAGAAATTTGGAAAACAACTCAGCTACATGGCCAAGCAATTGTAAGAGATCCATATTTTTGCCCATTCCAAAGAAAGGCAACCCAACAGAATGTGGAAATTATCAAACAATATCATTAACGTAACATACAAGTAGAATTTTGCTGAAGAAAATTGAAAAATTGGTTGCAGTAGTACATTGATGTAGAGCTGTCAAAAATACAAGCTGGATTCAGAAGGGGACATGGCCCAAAGAATAGCACTGTTGATGTCAGATGGACCTTGGGTGGAAGCAGAGAACACTAGAGAGCTGAGTAAATGTGTTTTATTGACGCTGTCTGCAAAGAAATTTGCCTGTGTGAATCATAACAAACCGGACAACATTGCGAAGAATGGGAATTCCAGAACACTTCATTGTGCTCATGTGGGGCCTGTGCATACAGTAAGATGCAATTGTTGAATAGAACAAGGGGATGCTACATGGTTAAAATCAGGAGAGGTGTGTTGGGACGGTATTCTTTCACTGCACTTATTCAATTTGGATGCTAAGCAAGTATTTGAATGATGGTGTTGGTGAAGAGTATTGTAAATACTGTGGTTTAGGTATCTTGACAGTGGTGGTACCCACACAAATCTATACAGGTGATAAAATTGTCTGGCACTAAGTAGATATACACAATTGTGTGACTATAAGACTGGTGAAATCTAAATAAGCTCAGGGGATTGTATCAATATCAATGATCTGATTGCGATATTATACAATTGTTATGGAATCTGTTACCATGGAGAAAATTGGGTGAAGAGTAGCGTTTCTTGCAAAAGCACGTGAATCTACAATTATCTCACAATAGAAGTGCTTTAAAAATGTGAGTGTGTCTCTCTAACAACCACACATCGATTGTGTGTTTCCGTTTCCGGGATGTGAGGGAAGCCCATCTTAAGGATCCATGTGCGCTCCTTTTACAGCTACTGTCCTCCCGCCTTACCGTCTTAAGCCCATGGCAACCACTAATCTGTTTTCCAATTCTAAATTTTGTCATTTTGATAATGTAATTATACAGGATGTATCTTTTTGAGATTGGCTTTTACCACTAATCTTCTGATCTATCCAAGTAATTGGTATGAATGTTCTGTTCCTGTTATCACTGGCTAGTATTACACGGGATATACACACACACCACAAATGAGCGCACATCTTATAAATGTTTGCATGTTGTATTTCTTCTGGACAGTTTTCATCTGTGTGGAAAATAAGGGCATGAGCTATGGAAAGGAATTAGGGGGATACAAAGAGGTCAAACACAAACGTGGTAGCTAGAGGAAGAATTGCGAGGCTCGTAGGGAAGAGGTGAGCTGGAGCCGAGGGAGAGGGAGAATCAGCCGGCTAGCACTCTCGCCTGCTTGCTTGCTCCAGCTACTGACTCTCTCCAACGGCCTTCCTAAGAACACGTAACCATGGCATCGCTAAGCTTTATATTTATTGCATTGATTTGAGATCAGAAACTGTGTCTTATTTAGCTTATTTCTTTATTTATCTGGTAATCCCAGCTCTTGACAAAGTGTCATTCAATGTTACTGTCGAATATATGAATGAATTACAGCCACACTAATAGGGAAGGCCCCATAGCTGGCAATAAGTGAAAGAGCAGGATAAAGGGAAGCATGAAGTTTCTGGAGACCAATTTAATCCAAGTGGTGCTGTGGGTTTAGGTATTGAGTTGCTAAGCACAAAATCAGTGGTTCAAACCCAGCAGCTGCTTCGGGGAACAGGATGAGGAGGTCTGCTCTGGGGAAGAGATAAGGTCTAAGAGACCCTCCGTGAGGTCACCATGTGTCAGATCGACTCCACACCGGGAGGCTTTGTTTGCTTTTGTTTATGCAAGTTGGAAAAATTAGTAAAAATGGTCCCTGGGTTGTTGTTTGCAATGTATTTGCTACGCGTAGAGACTCTGGAATGTTTTACAACTGGTATATATTATATATAAAAAGACATATTGACCATACACAAGAAAATAAATGTTACTTCTCCTCCTGCTGTCACAATTCCCCCCCTGATGTCACCATTTCTCCCCTAAGTTAGAATTGGTCTAGATATTACATGTTATATTACATATTATATACAGCACATAATATAAGAAATTAAAATTTTATTGTGTGTGTGTTTTTAAAACAAGACCGTTTTAAAGTGTTAAGAAGCGATGACGTCACATCAAGAATGAAGATTGTTCTGATCCAAGTCATGGTATTTTTTCACTCATCTCGTATGCACGCAAAAGTTGGGCAATGGCTAAGGAAGACTGAAGATTGAAGTCAAGGAAGATTGAAGATCAAGGGAGATTGATCTATTTAAGTCATGGTGTTGGTAAAGAATATTGAATGGACTTCCAGAAGAATGAACAGATGTTTTGGGGAAAGTAAACTGAGAATATTCCTTCGACGGAAGAATGAGGAGACCATTTCTCATACTTTGAACATGTTATCAGTGGGACCAGTCCTTGATACCCTCCTTGGGAGAAAGTCATCATGAAAAGATGATGCTCCTCAAGGGCATGGATTGACATAGTGGCTCTAGCAATGGGCAGCAAGGGTTGTGAGGGCGGCACAGGGCCTGGCAGTGTTTTGTCCTGTTGTACATGTAGGGTCACCACATGGTTGAATCAACTGGGTGGCACCAACAAACAAAAGCAAAAAGTGAAAAAATGTAGGTGATTGGCAGCAAGGGTTGTGAGGGCGGCACAGGGCCTGGCAGTGTTTTGTCCTGTTGTACATGTAGGGTCACCACATGTTTGAATCAACTGGGTGGCACCAACAAACAAAAGCAAAAAGTGAAAAAATGTAGGTGATTGGCAGAGCAGAAAGAGCCTACAGTTACTTTGAATGTCTGAGTGAACTGTAATTCTTATATTAAATTTAAGCCTCAACTCTTCTCTCTACGTTCAAATGAGGCAAAACACATACTTAGAAGAAACCTGCCTGGTTGGTGGCTAGTGTCGTTTTACATGCAAATTTGAAAGTTCCTGAAAACATCACATTACTTTGTATAAATGAATCAGGTTCTTAGAAGTAAACATATTTTTTTCATTGCTAAAAAAAATAGTTCACATGGTACATATGTATAAAGGAATGACTGAACTTTTAAGACATTGATTATTTTCCCAAGTTTCTTTTCCCATTATGATTTCTTCTGATGAAAATTCTAATGCTTTT